CGTGTGCTGGAGCGGGGGTTCTTGTTTTCCATCAGCCGGCAGGTTCTAAGCTGGGGGTGTCAGGGACAGAGGCATAAGGCCTAAGAAAAAAAATCCCTGAGGGCCCTCAAGGCACCACGGTCACTGCATGGGATTTGGAGGTGGGTAAGAGGGAGGGCGGGTGCACATGAGCGTGGGAGCAGAGCCAACTCCAGGGCTCGATGGTTGAGGCTGGGCAGGGGCTGTCCCCAGCCAGGACAGACCACAGAGGGTCCCCGGGTGCCTCCTCAGCACGGTGGCTGCTGCTGCCCAGAGCTTCTCGCCACTGCAGCACAGCCACATGCTGCCCTCGGGACGGTGCAGGACACCAGTGGTGGGGCGGTGGGTGGGATGGATGCTGCATGGCCGCGCCCAGGTGCCTCCCTGGCACAAGGCTGCGCCACACCCAGCACTGCCAAGACCAGCTGTGCCCGTGCAGCCGGGAGCTGGGGACTGCCCCAGCCCCAGCTTCATCTCTGCCCTAGCCCCATCCTCCTCAGTCCCACCCCAGCTGAGTGCCAGCAGCAGCCACCCCAGCATGGGACCATTTCCCGACGTGCGTGCGGCCATTTCACGGGTCAGAGCAAACACCGTTTGGCTCAGCCAGCACCACCACCCCCGCCGAGGTCAGCACCCTCACACGCGCACTCTTCCCCGCCTCTAGGAAAGGCCTTGGGATTTGCTCTCGGCAGGTTCTGTGCTGCCAGCCTGGGCTGGGTCTGGCCATGCCGCGCTGGTGCTCACAGCCGAGCGGCACTGTGCCCCTGCACGCCCCCGCCGCAGGGTCAGCTGCCCGGTGGCCTCCAGCCCCAGCCACGCTGCTGCGGCTGAGCATCCTGCTGCTGTTTGAGCTGCGCCCTTGAACGTGTCTGGTCAATTGTAAACCACCGTGACGGTGTGAAATGCCCACAGAAAAGAGCTTTGATAAAAGCAGCCGCCCACTGGGGCCTTGCGCAGCTGCTGGGCCTGCTCTGAGGTCAGACACTGCTGGCTTGCAAGGGGTTGAGTATGTTTGGGAGAAGATTCATCTGCTCCTGGAACTGGTGGTGAAGCCCCCCCCCTGGGGTCCCTGGGGATGTGAGGGACAACCCTTGGTGTGCCATGACCTGTTTGACATGCG